ATTTTTTTTTTTTTTTTTTTTTTTTTTTACTTTAATAAAAAAGGAAGGGGGGAGGAAGAGAAGAAATTGAGGAAAGGGGGAAAAGGAAGAGAGGGAGGGAAGACAAGAAAAAGAAGGCTGACCTTAACCCAGGAGCAATGAATAATTACTGACACTTTGAGCAAGGAAACTTGTAATTTAATGAAAAATGTAGTGTTTTATGAAGATTTTCTTGGCTGTGCGGAATTTATCAGAGAAGTATAAATACCAGAAGAAAACGAACTAGCAGACTGCTGCAATAATCCCACCATCTAAATCACCTCGTAAATGTTTAGGACCCATGTGGCTAATACGTGCTCTACAGCAGGGGGTGGGGGAGGGGCACAAAGACCATCTAAAGAAGAATCTGACAGGTTTTACTACCTGAACCTGGGCTAGAGAGAAAGCTGAAAAGAGGGAAACGTCAAAGGTTACTGTGACGTTCCAGGCTGGGTTATAGAAAGATGGTGCTAATGACAAAAGTACCAATGACTCAAGTCTGGCTGAGATTAAGGTAACAGGCTCATGTCTACGAGGGCAGGTTTAAGAGACTATTATGAAGAATTCACCTGGCCCATCAGTAATGCCTGCCAACTGTTAGCTGGTATTGACATTAGCCGACTCTACAGGTTTGATCACTTGAGGGATCAAGGACTGAAATCGATCCATTAAGACCACAGGTAAAACATATTACACAAATTTGCTAATTCCCAGATCATGTTTTTTACACTCTAGGAAAGCCTGCCAGCATCGATCACCCTTCTACTCACACTAGCTTGACGTTGTTTCACTTCAGCCCTCAGCTTATCTCGCAGACGTTTCAGTTCATGAATCCTGGTTCCAAGAGCACTTTCCACTGCCGGTGCGCTCTGTGGCTCTTCCATTTTTTTACGGGATCTGCTCACTTGAGTCTCTAGTCTTTCCAAGTGAGCTAAAACACCTGAGGGAAGTAAAAAGGGAATTTCACAAGAAGCTAAGGATTTCTAACCCCAGGAACAGGAAGCACTTCAGGGAAGAACAGAGGGTGACCCTTTTTCCAGAACTCTGTGGTCAGCTAAACTGGAGACGTTGCCAACAATTTATAAAACAAGAGGAGTTGACAACAGAAGTCAATGATCAGCAACCTCTTAGGCCGAACACTGACCTACAAACAGTCCCTGACCAAGACACTCTTCAAATGGGGCATCATCTGAAAATGGCTAATCTCAGTTATCTATGATAATAGTAACCCAGAGGAAAACAGGGTCACCAAATTCAGACTCTCTCAGAAATTGTTTTTTTTAATGCAGAATTGTTTTTTTTGGTTTTACGCATGTTTTCCCAAAGTGCTAATGCATAACTGGATTTAGACATCCACAGAGGCTTGAATAAGTACTCTGAAGCTCTGAAAAGTATTAGGAGCATAGGACTATAAAGTCACACACTGAAAGGAACCATCCACCAATATTACTGGGTATCAGACAGGAAAACAAGCTCACCAACAGATAGAAATTCAGAGGCAATCTCAGATCCTAAGAGACTAACTAAAGACCAATATAGTAAAGGTCACGGTTTCATAATGCTGATCAACTCTAGCAGTGAAGCATTTGTGAACATTTCCTACATATTAAGACACTTGTGGGGCTTCCTTGGTGGCACAGTGGTTAAGAACCCGCCTGCCAATGCAGGGGACACGGGTTCAATCCCTGGTCCGGTAAGATCCCACATGCCGCCACAACTACTGAGCCCACATGCCACAACTACTGAAGCCCACATGCCTAGAGCCCGTGCTCCACAACAAGAAAAGCCACCGCAATGAGAAGCCCGCGCACCGTAACTAGAGAAAGCCCGCGTGCAGCAACGAAAAACCAACACAGCCAAAACTAAATAAATTTATAAAATAGAGACACTTGTGCTAGATCCTTTACTTGCAAAGCATGCAAAAGAATTAAAGCATTTATTTAATATTTCCTATGCATTAGGCATGTGCTAAATGCTTCACCTGAAAAGCATTAAAAGAATTACTTATCTAATTTCCACAGCCACCACCACAATGCTATTATTCATCTCCATTTTCCAGATGAAAACACTGAGGCAGAGAAAAGTAAAATAACTTGCCCAAGGCCACAGTATTTATAATGGCAGAGCCACGACTCCAACCCAGATCTGACCAATACCAGTCACTGCCTCTTCCACGGCAGTAATGCATAAATGGCTCCCCCCAAATCCTGGGAAGAGTAAAGAAAGCTCATTGGCTAGAACTGTAGCTCCGAATATGAACGCTTAGCATACTAGGAATGCAACCTATTGGTCTAAAAAGGGATAAGAGCCTAGAATATGTGAAGTAATTTTTCCTGCTCCAATGATCTGTCCCTTTAAGTCTTCAATGTTAGTTCCTTTCACCATCCTGCTCCCAAACAGGACAGGTCACACATCGGTTAAAGGAAGAAAGGGCTTTCAACCTGCGCGTTGTTTGGGCAGCAGCAGTAAGGGGGGAAAGGCGACCCTTTGAATACCTCCTCTGGACTCGCCGTCTTGACTGAGAGTATTAGCCAGCTCCATCTCCTCCTCAGATTTCCAAGAGCCTTGCTAGAAAGCTGTCCAAGCACCAGTAATAGGGCTGTCCTTGGAGACAAAATAAAATGGCAAGAATCGATTCACATTCAGACAAACCTAGAGGGCAGGCACACGCAACGCAGGTACGCACCCGTGCGCCCCGGACACCCCAAGTGTCGTCGCTAGGACTCCCCTTCCCTGACCCGCCCGGTCCGCTCCCCGGGTCCGAGTCGGCGGTGTCCACGTCTACCTCCCCGCCCCTGCGCGCTCCTAAGGCGCCGCGCCCCTGGTACCTCCGGGCTTCCTTGCACACGGAAAGAGCTGTAAGAATGCCGCTCAGCCTTCCACCCTGTCACGGTCCCGTCCGCCACTGGGCCTTACTTTCCCTTATCTCCTCTCCTCTGGCTGTTCCCGCTTGCCTTCAAATCCAAGCCAACCGGTCCCAGCGTGCTTTGCACTCCCACCCGTACAAAAACATGGCAGCACTCAGGGCCCCTCCCTGATCCCGGCATGCATCGGAGGATAGGCCTGGCCTTTCAGTTGTGTGGGAAGATGGCGGTGGCTGGCGCAGAGCCGCAGATCCTGGTACAGTACTTGGTGTTACGAAAGGATCTATCACAGGCGCCGTTTTCCTGGCCAGCGGGCGCATTGGTAGCACAGGCTTGTCACGCAGCCACCGCGGCCTTGCACACTCACCGGGACCACCCGCACACGGCCGCTTACCTCCGGGAGCTGGGGCGCATGCGCAAGGTGGTCCTCGAGGTGAGCCCCGGGCGGAGGGGGAGGGGCCCTGAGGATATCGAGACCGGAAGAGGGTGTGGTCTTGAGTCGGAGGGCCTAACTTCATGGAGTGGGTGTGGCATTAGTGGGGAGGGGTGTTTGACTTACAAGTTTTGGTAAGGTTTCTGGGGCTTGAGCTATTGCCCAGGGAGCCTTACCTTGACTGGGCGGGGCCTGACGGTGTGACGAGTGGACATCGGACCCGTCATAAATGCTTCCCGCACCCCTTCGGTCTTACCTGCGTCCCTCTTAAACAGATGCCTGTGAGGGGGGAGGCTGGTGGAGCGACACCCGCCTTTCTACCTGTGCACTGCGCCGGCCTTTTAATGGCTGCGCAGAAAAGTACTGTCCTTAACCCTCTTCGCCAAACCGATCCAGAAGGGTAAGGACGCGGGGTTCCTTATTGCAAGTGAAGTCAAACTGGAGCATTTACCTGGTTCTGACGCCAAATTATTTGAAAATAAATGTGAACCCTAGTATAATTTGAACCTAGCATCAGAGGTAAGGTTCTTTTTACAGATAGCCAAAGAGATCTTACCCTTACCTTCTGTCAATTCTGCCTCTAGAAATGTATCCTAAGAAAATAGCAAGATGCACCCAAAGAGCGTTGTACAAGGATAGGAGCATTTTATAATAGTAAAAAAAGTGGAAATCACTCAATTTCCAGTACGATGAATTGTCTAAACTTATGCCCTTATAATGGATTATTACAAAACTAGCATAAATCATGTTTTTGGAGCGTATTTACCTGGCATGGAAGGGCGCTCATGATGCGATTCTAATTGAACTATATATTCTACATACAAAGTGATCCAGATTTTGAAAGTAAGAACTAAGAAAATATATCCAAATATTAAGTAGTGAGTGGGTAGTGGAATTTTGGTTATTTTGTAATGCTTCTCTGTTTTTTTTTTAGTTTCCTACATTAAGCACACATTTTATAATGAAAAAAAATATTGCTTTCATTTTAAAGCAATTTTCTTCTCATAAAATTTATTTATTTTAATAAATAAACCTGGGGTGGAGGGGTTGGGTAATTCCTTCTTGGCCAGCTGGCAAAAGAAGATCAGTTTTCAAGAGAAAAATTGCTGTTGGGTAATGAAACATTAAACTGTAACCTGTAGGAAAATGTCTTGAGAATCTGTACATAGGCAGAAAAGAAACAGATAGCTTTTTCCTTTAGATTCCTTTTGTAGGATTTTATAGGAAGGCTTCAAGAAATCATGTAGTGCAGACATCCCCCACTCCCTTGCTTTCAGGCAGATAAAATATTTACCCCTTTTCTCAGATGAGATATCTGAAGCCCACAGAGATTAAGTGACTCCTCTGAATTTAAAAGACATCTCATGATTCTGTTCTTAGCTATGACTCAAGAAAGGGACGTAGGAGTCACCACTGATTAAATAAAGGTGGTGCTGTAGCCATAAAGACCAATAAAATATAAGACAGTGCCAAGATTAACTCCATTTACTGGGTGCTTTGTGTCAGGCACAGATCTGAGCCTGATTTCATTGAATCTCACTACTACTAGGAAGCATTATCATCCCATTTTACAACGGGCACACAAAGGTTCAGCTAAGTCACATAACTTAGCAAAGAGCACACAAATCAGTAAGTGGCAGAGCAAGGGTTTGGACTCACTCTAACTTGTACTGTGCTGCTCCCGGTGCTGAAGGAGGAGGGAGTCAATGCATTCTTCTTCAGCATGCCCAAAGGACTCAGCAGATTAAGACTGGCAATCCCAGCATCCTCTAATTTGATTAAGACAAACCTCTAGTTATCTTAGTGGCTTCTACCTTCATAGGCAAAAAAATATACCTTATGCAACATAACACACTAAGTATCTTTATTTTCTGAGTGATAGCTATACTATTTCCTGTAATGGGATTCAGCATGGGTGATAAAGATGATGAGAAACAATTTCAGAAGGACACTAGAGAATAGTTTGCCCACGCTTGAGTTAAAAACTGGGAACTATCCTGGCGGAAAGAAAATCCTTCTAGGTTTGTGTGAACTAGGGTGGAAGTAGGAGGGAGGTGGGGGTGATGTGATTTTAGAAATCCTTCCAGTAGTCAGCTCTTAAAGTCAGAGCTGGCTGAGGGATTAGGGATGCTGTTTAGGCACCAGAACTAGAAAATGTGTAGAGCATAATTACTGACAATGCATTCCCACCCCTACTCCCACCCCTTCAGAGAGTGAATGGCAAATGGAGCAATGAAGCTGTTGTTTCTAGAGACATGCTCTGCAGTTCCTTCTTTGGTAGAGCTGTTCCTCCAGTTTCAGTTAAGAGGAGCCCCCCTCCATACTTTTTTTTTTTTCCTTTGCCTTTTGTCACTTACTAAATGGGCTTTTCAGTCTGTGTTCTGCTCCTTGTAGGCCCCAGATGAGACCACCTTAAAGTTGCTGGCAGAGACGCTGCAACAGAAGAACATTGACCACGAGCTGTGGGTGGAGCAGCCAGAGAACATCCCCACTTGCATTGCACTCCGTCCCTACCCCAAGGAAGAAGTGAACCAGTATTTGAAGAAGTTCCGATTGTTCAAATGACTGAAGTTATCAATTGCTTTGATATGTCTGGATATCAGCTGGACCCAGAAACTGCACGCCGTCCATCCCTAAGCACCGCGTACTCCTTTCAGTGGCAATTCCCTTCCCTTTAAATTATGACAGTTTCTTGAGGGTCAAAACATGTTCATATTAAAGTTGTCATTAATAAGTATTTTTAATTATTTATAAGTTCAGATGGGGAAAGTAGGTGAGTAGCATTATCATCTGTGGGTCACTGCTCAAACAGAAGATTTGGTTAGACTCCTATATAGGGATCAAAGAAATACCCTTACTTTTTTGTTAGGAATAATAGAGTTCTTCCAGTTACCCAGGTTTAAAACTTTTCCTTTGAATTCCCTATTTCTTACTCACATCCAGGTATTGTAATCATTGAATCTTGGACACCATCAACTTTACGATACACCATTATTTTACGTGTTGTTAAGAAAGAAGAAATGCTGCCAATTAAGTTGAGACATGTAATTTCATTTCAAAGATGTTAAAATGTCTTTGATTTAATAAAATATGTGAAGTACTACATCTATTTTCTTACAGTTTCCAGTGCCACCGCCCTGAATCAGGCTCTCATTTCGCTCACGAGTGTCCCACTGGTCTGCTCACCTAGCGTGTCCTGGTTACAAGGCAGCAAGCGTTCTGCCACCAGGTTCATATATTGATAGGATCACTGAGCACCCTTTTCCGTATAGGCTCCAACTTGCCCAGGAATAAAGTCAAGATGCCTTAGTTTAGCCCTCAGGCCCTCCACATTTATATTTCCTACCTACCTTTTTAGGTGAATCTTCTATTCCCTGATCCAAACTTGATGTATCAGTGAAGACTCCAGTTGCTGCCCTCTAGTCTCTGGCCTGGGAGTCGAATGTTAGTACTCTCCCCCTCCCTTTCCTGCCTCTGGACTGAAACTTTGTGGCTCAAGTGTTATCACTGTCACAAAGTCTTACGCAGCTAAAAATGATAGCTCCCTTCTCTGAACATCTATTATAACACTGTTGAGTGCTTAAAATATTTCTATAAACGTTTGGAGACATCTACTGAAATTGTTTGGACATCTGGGAAGCAAAGTTTATAAAGGGTCATTTGTTCAACAGTTATCTGTTGCATGTCTACTGTGGCAGGCTGTACTAAGAGCTGAGGATACAAAGGTGAATAAAAGTTTTTACCCTCAGGTAGTGAAGAATCTAGTGAGAAGACAGATTTATAGATATTAATAGAGAGAGAAATGTACAAGGTAAAATGTGTACACTTCCCCCCACCCTCTAGATACCAAGACTGCCAAGCTACTAGATAGGAAGATTTTCCTTTATAAGAGATGGTCACTGGAAACTAGGAGAGTTGATAGGGTCTCCCAGGGAGAATTGGTAGAGTGCTGAGGGCAGAACCAACCCCAGGAACCCAAGTGAACAGAGTCTTAAGGGGGAGAGAGCAATCAAGGGCAGCACAGAATTTCACTAAATAAGAAATGAAAACATTTAGCAATTGGGAATATGTTGATTAACTTGGTGAAAGCAGTTTGAATAGTATATGAGGTGGGAATCAGATTGGAACCTATCGACAAGAATGGGAGGGGAGGTAAGAGGTGGGGACTATTTTAAGAAGCTTGAATGGGAGGAGAGAGGACAATGGGGGCTGGAGAGGTGAATGCTGGGTCCCAAAGGGGAATT